TAATAATTAAAATTTCTGTTAGAACTTAATGATTATCTTAATTATATTTTAGATTTTTTATACTTAAAATGGATGTTTATCTTATATTTAATTATATTTATCTGCAGTTAGTTACACGAATTTAAAAATGGAGCTTTAATAAGTTGTACTTATGCAAAATTACTTGTAATCTTGAATTTCAAGTAATATGCATCAATAAACAGTACTTCATACATTAAAAAATGATTTTTAATAGTTTTTGTCAAATGCTTTATAATATAGTATAGATATTGTGTTGTGTGATGAACATATAGTAATAAGATTACAATTTAAATCTAGAAACGTGTTTCATCAAGTATCTTTAATTAGCCTTAGGTTAAAAGCAATATGGTTGAAGTATATACTCTCATACGGTTGATATGAAGTTTACATATGACTGAAATTATAGTTTGTTAGTGTTATTTATCATTCATCTCAAGATTTATAAATTATACACTTCATTATCTTGTTAGATTTTAATAATACCAAAAATACCTGACAATTATTATGGACTAATATTTTCAATTATTAACACCATCTCGATATTTTCAAAAGCTTGATCCAAGATGATGCTAAAAAGTTATAACACCTGTGATTAAAATCAATGTTAATTTGTAATGAAACGTTAATAAAATTTTTGAAGTGAAATTAATTTCAGAGATTAAAGCAAGAAGGCTTCAGTCAACAGTTAGATGTACTTCGTTGTGTACAATTGTTTTTTTTTTTTTAAGTATATAATATTTATATACGACAAATGCAACAAATAAACTCACACACCCTCCTCACCTATGGTGAGGTTTGAACACCTGACCTCCTAAAAGACCAAGGGCTACAATACCGCTAGGCCAAATTAAGGCCCTTTGATCGTTGTGTACAACTGTTACTCGTACAAGTCAATTAGAATCGATCGAACATATATAATCAGATACGCAATTATAATGTGATCCGATTCAATCCAAAATTTTAAGATCCAAATCGGAACCAAAAATGCAATCGCAAGACCTAAGCAACCAAAAATCTTTTAGCTCATTGCTTCCCTGAGCTTTTGCGAAGTACAAACTACAAAGCTCTAGCTTCCAACCTCATTTCAGTGCACTTTTATCGCTTCCCTTGTGTTGTTAGTTTTTCACTTCTATCTTTCTTATCAAAACCAGAACTTGTATCCTAACTAGTTGATGCACTGCCTTCTAGGAATTAAGAACACTTTTTACCTTGCCTCACACATAAGTTGCAAAATCAATTTCGTATAATTTTTCATCAGTTTTAGTAGCATCATCAAACTTTTACCTTGCCTCACACATAAGTTGCAAAATCAATTGATCAACGTCTCCAATGTCATCAAATCTTGAAGGGTCTTACAAAACGTCAAAAATCCACAAAAAAATTACTTTGCATTTAAGTTGCTTAGGGGTGGAAAGATCTAAAATAATATTCGTATAGATTCGAAGCATTATGTACCTAACATAACAAAGTAATATATTTTCTCATTAAACGTTCCAATTTTTCGATGTTGGGAAAATTTCGTAGTTTCACGGCATGTTTTTCTCAATCATATATCTGTTAAAAAACAAACAAACAAAACACCACCTATATATAAATAAGGAAAAACAAATGATCAATTAATTAACATAAAAGGGGAAAAGGAATGGTAATTAGCATTAAGAAGGGAAAACAAGTGGTTAATAACATATATAAATTGCAATACATATGTAAAGTTACTGAAAAGATACCATACTTTTAATGAAAACATAATTTATATGTGTGGTTGAAAACATATTAACATATTCAACATTTAAATATATATAGGGTTGGGTTCACATGAAACCAAGAGTTTTTTGTGAGACTCGTAAAACCATTTTGTGTTCATTGATAAACTTTATAAACTAATTATCTAATGGTCTAAAGTTGTACGGTAGCAATTTTGTGATCATTAAGAAGTCTCGCGACAATTTTGTGATTATAAATATTCAGATTGTAGATCTATTTCAAGGGTTGAGAATTGGTCTTACGGGTCTCACGAAAAAACCTTTGATCTCACATGATCCCAAGTCTATATATAGATAGATAGAATATACATGATACAATTTCTTTTTATAAATTATACATTTGATAATCTTGTTAAATCTATCTATATATCTATTAAAAGAAGAACCAAGAGTATTGATATGACATTATGAGAATTGAGTATTGAGGTGTTGGTGAATTGTGGTTGAGTTTGAGATATCTCACATTGGTAAGAGATTGAAAGATTGAATTAAGAAGGTGTGTATAAGAAAGAAGAATAAGATTCATTGTGTCAACTCATGAGGTTTGAGTCATAAAGTTATCTTATTTGGATGACCTTATTTTTGCAAAACAAATCTTATATTGTGTTAGCTCATGAGGCTTGAGTCATAAAGTTATCTTATTTGATGAAAATCTTGGGATATTGAGGCGACACCATGAGAATTGAGTATTCTCAAATGGTGGATTGTATTTGAGTTTTAGTTGTCCCACATCGGTGAAGATTTGAACAAAATGAAATGTATAAAAAAGTGGATTGGATGCTTTTGTGTCAAATAATGGGGTTTGTCTTATAAGGTTGTCTTATTTTAGATGATTCTCTTTGAAATCTATAACCACGGTTGGAAACCAAACCAACCAAATGATAAAAATTATAGTGCAACATTAATTATATTATATTGGTTCTTCTTATATATATATATATATATATATATATATATATATATATATATATATATATGGTATATTTCTTTTACAACCCCCTTATTTGTACAACCCATGCAACCTCCCTTTTAACCAATCATTGAATTCTTTTTTTTTAGTTTATTTTTTAAATGAAAAGGTTAATATTGTCAATTGCTAATTTTATATAATAATAATTATTTTTAAATAATATCAATAAATATCTTATTAATTATGAAGCCATATAATTACTATTAATAACTTGAAACTGATATGGTAATTAAACCTTTCTAAACAATACTTTTCTTTTAACAAAATGGATGGAATCGATAGAAGCATTTTTTAGAATAATAATTTATTATACTCCTATGGATCCCATCTCCTTCAACGAGACATTCGTCAAGGATATCTTTGATGAAATCGATGGCATTAACGGTAAACGTAAAGGTGTTGTTCATGATCGTGAATTTACAACTGTAACTAATGATGGTACAACACAAGATAAATGCAATTACTCAGCTAGGGATGATGATGGGTGCATTCGTTAAAATGAAACAATACCTAAGCATAGTGACTCGATTACAGACAAAGTTTATGCAGAGTTTGACGATGATGATGTTGCGTCTTTGAGTAATGAAAATGAAGGTACTGTTTTGTTATCGTAACTGGTGCAAGATCTGTAAACATGTAATGAAACCCAAAAGACAATACAGAGTTTTTTGATTGCTGTCCTAGCATTCTAAATGGTCAATGAACACCATAGTCTGCACTTTTATCAACTGTTGGAAGAACTTGTTCATAATCTTGTACTGCATATGGGTTCATTGCAGAATGTGCATGCTCGTGCTTGTGTAGTTGATGACACGAAGATGTATCTGGTTTCATTATAGGCTTTTGTTATTCTTTGTTTGCTTCGAGAGTAGCTCTTTATAGATTTAACCATAACTGGTTGTAGAACCTGCTGAATCTGGGTTACATCACTGATTTCAAATACAAACGAAGGAGGTACAGTTTAACAAAATTTCTCAGAATTAAGATGACAAAAGACTCCTATATTTTTGAACGAATGAACAATGTATGACAAGAAATACACCTAACAAGGAAGTGAAATTATGATTCTAAGGTGGATGAAATTAAACACAAAAAAGACTCCATAATGTTCGTTTATCGCTGGACTAGCATTCTAATCCCTCCATTTAAAGAGAATAAGTAAACGATTTGATTTGGATTCATCAGTGTATAAAACAACAAATAAGTCAGCAGATAAAGTCTGATAATGGATAATGATGAAACCAGATTCATCAGTACATAAAACCCATAATAATTTAGCAATGCAACAATGTAACAAGAGAGAGATAGGGGTTATACGGAGTGGGCAGTTTGTATGCTCTTTTAACCATGCTTCTAGGCACTCAACATGATACCCATGACCACACCTTTCTAATATGGCTAACCGTTCACCCAAGAGCACCTCGCACAAGCACGCGATGCATGAGAGGAGTTGACAGTGAGCTCGTTGACTGTCATGTTATGGGGTGCATGAGGATTAATGGATGAATGTTTTAGCAAGTAACAGTTGACATAGTAAGCTATCATAATCATCATCATCATCATTTGAAATGATGATTAGTCAGCAGATAAAGTCTGATAATGGATAATGATGAAACCAGATTCATCAGTACATAAAACAACAAATAATTCAGCAATGCAACAATGTAACAAGAGAGAGACAGAGGTTATACGGAGTGGGCAGTTTGTATGCTCTTTGAACCATGATTCTAGGCACTCAACATGATACCCATGACCACACCTTTCTAACATGGCTAACCGTTCACCCAAGACCACCTCGCACAAGCACGCGATGCATGAGAGGAGTTAAMGGTGAGCTCGTTGACTGTCATGTTATGGGGTGCATGAGGATTAGTGGATGAATGTTTTAGCAAGTAACAGTTGACATAGTAAGCTATCATAATCATCATCATCATCATCATCATCTTTAAAATGTAATCAATGAAATTAGATTCATTAGCAAATAATTTCATGTATACGCTATATGCCAGTATGTCAAAGTATGATTACCTACATTATGTCTTATTACCTACATTATGTCTTTTGCCGACATAATCATGTTGTTGTGTTACTGTTTTGAATCTAAAAGCGGCTTTACGATACAATTGCATTAATATAAGATTCATTTTGGTTATTGTTGTAGATTATCGATATCAAGACATGGGGGAAACGTCTGATGGGTCGAAATATTGGTTTCCTAGTGTAGACGTAAAATATAAACCTAAGGTTGGTGATTCTTTTGAGTCTGTAGAATCGGCTGAGAAAATGTATCGGAAATATGCCAATGAAGTTGGGTTTGATGTACGTTTATCTAACAAGAAGATAAATAAGCTTGGTCGTATCACGTCCCAATTTTATGTGTGTAGTAAGGAAGGGAGACCCAAAGTAAGTATTTTGATTCCTTAGATGTTCTTCCAGGTGGTCGTACAATCCGAAATTCAAATATCAAGCGTTCCGGTTGTGGAGCATGTTTAAAAATTCACCTTGTTAAAGAACCGAACCAATACGAAGTTTACAAGTTCGTTGAGCAACACAATCACATCCTTTTTAATAAAGAAGAGATGAGGTTTTCCCGTTCCAAAAGGCAACTCCACTACGCTGATCATAAGAATGTATTTCATGGTTCTAGTTCCAAGGTTGGCGTCACCAAATCTCATAGATTTATAAAAGCCGTTAAGGGTGGTGTAGATTCATCGGGTGGCACTGTAAGAGATCATCAAAACTTCAAACGCGATATGACATATTTTGTTGGCAATAAAGACGCACAAATGTTATTAAATGTGATGGCTAATAGGAGGAAGGTTTGTCTTGAGTTTTTTTTCGAGTACAAGTGTGATGACAAGGAGTTAGCAATTTTTTGGGCTGATGAGACTGCACGATCAAATTATAGGGAATTTGGCGATGCAATATCATTTGATGCAACGTTTAGGACCAACAAGTAAGTTGTACTTGATATTAAAATATTATGTTGGTTTTATCAATACTCTATCTTGTACCTTCTATTAATATTTATTGTTTATTTTTGATAGGCATGCTATGATATTTGTTCCGTTCGTTGCAATTGACAATCATAAGAAATCCGTTGTTGTTGGAGCTGCATTAATTTATAATGAATCTGTAGTTGATTACACATGGGTATTAAAAGCGTTTGTAAAAGCACATGGACGTTAGCCACGTTTCGTTATCACCGACCAATGTGCATCGATGAAACAAGCAATTCCCATTGCATTTCCTGAATCCAGACATAGATTGTGTATGTGGCATATCACTAAAAAGGTGAAATCGAAGGTAATTAAGATGATAGTTTTTGTAGTAATTTTTTTGTTCATTTTCATTTTTTATGCAATTGTTTTGATGGTTTACTTCGCAGATTAGTAATTACCTCCAACACCGCACGCAGTTCGTTAGTAAATTTAATAAGTTGACGTGGAACGTTCACCTTGGTCCTAATGAATTTGAGATGCAATGGAACAATCTGATCGATTTTTATGGATTACGTGGAGATCCATGGTTTGATGAATTGTACAATATTAGGGAGTCGTGGATTCCGGCTTACTATAAGGATTATCATATGTCAGGCCTAATGAAAACAACATCCAGGTCGGAGAGCATCAATGCGATTTTTAACGTTTATGCACATTTTTGGCATGATCTTGTTGTTTTTCTCCGTTCTTTTGATAATGCAGTTGAAAGTCAACGGGCAACACATGGGTCACTAGAGGTGACAACCAAGAGCACGATTCCTCGATTGGTGTCCCCTTGCAAGTTGGAAGCTCATGCAGCAGAGGTGTATACACGGACTATATTTTTCGAAATTCAGAAAGAGTTAAGAAAGGCTGTTTGGCTTTGTGGCTGGGATGGATTCACTGACATTGGTGAAACCAGAGTGTACATCATTACTCACAAGAACAAGGCTTCGAAGGTCACAACAAAGTACACGGTATTTACTTWGTCCAATTTCGTTTTGCACCCATTATTGTACAATATTATTTTAACGAACAATATGATGAAACCTCCTCCCATATAATAGGTGATTAAGAACAAGATGGAAAACTCCTACGATTGCAGTTGCAATTGTTTTGTTCGTAATGGGATTTCATGTCGTCACGCTCTCAAGGTGATGTTAAATGACGAGGTTGACAAAATTCCCGATAAATATATACTTCGTCGTTGGCGACGCGATCTAGTTCCCGTGGAGTGGTTACCAGCACATTTCAGATATGGTGAAGTTGATGCAGAGAAAGAGAGATTGATGAGCTTGGCTTATTCATATTTTGAACGTATCTTAGGTAGAGTCCAAAATGAAAAAGACATTTTGTCAAGATTTGTTGACCAACTCGTATAATGGGATTCAAAGGTTGACATTGAACTTCCTTTACAGTCACACACTGAAGAGACCACATCGTCTATTAAAGAGTTTCTTGGAGTATCTCAACCCGAAACTGTTGATGTTCTTCCTCCCACCGGTATTCGAAACAAAGGTTGTGGAACTGGTAAGAGACTTATTAGCGCTGCAGAGAAAGCAATTCCAAACGGAAAAAAGCAGAACAAAAAGTGTCGACTATGTGGTCAGATGGCTACACATGATTCTCGGAATTGTCCAAAGCGTGATTACATTTAAGCTATCTTTTTGATTTTTTCGTATCATTTAATTTTGAGATGTTATTGGATTGTATTGATGGATTTTAGTTCACTTTGATTACAATATTATTGGATTGTATTGATGGATTTTAGTTCACTTTGCTTACATTTAAGTTATATTTTTGGGTTTTTCGTATCATTTAATTTTGAGATGTTAATTTATCTTTCCGAATTTGTCATATCATTTAATTTTGAGATGTTATTTGGTTATATTGTTKAKATTTAAGTCACTGGATTATATTGTTGTCGTATCACTACACTTCATTCACCTATGTGTGTAGTGATTCATGATAAACTAATGGCAACGTACAAGATGCACCGGTGAAACCAGTATTCATCATACTTATTATGAATATAAGTTCATATGTAAGCGTTATGTCATCATGTGAAGACATATGAAATGTACTTATGAAACCAGGTTCATCATATCAATTATGAAATCTAATTTCATTAGTAAATTTTATGGCATCATGTAATGGGCATGTAAAATGTACTGATGAATTCTGCTTCACCAGTTATGTAATCTAAGTTCATTTGTAAACTTTATGTAATCTAAGTACAATAGTAATCAGGTGGTTTGATGCATAATGGTTAATACAATCTTCATAATGAATCTGGTTTCATTAATTTTCTAAATTGGTGAAACATTGTACTGATGAAACTAGGTTATCAACTTACTTGTTCAAGACAACATTTACGGCAGACACTACATGAATGGAATGTAATAGTAAACTTACTTGTTCAAGACAACATTTACGGCAGAGACTACATGAATGGCATAGAATCTGTCACCCGCGAAAGATTACAGACCATTGTATAATTTACCTGCATTAAAAATTACATGTTAAGTACTAATCTTAATGTATTAAAAATAAGTAATCAAGTTATCAACTTATACTTGCTTGAACAGTCTTTTCATAATAATCAACTATTCATCCATTTTTATAATAGACTGACGAAATGAGAACAAAACTCCGTATCAGTATCTTATTTGATATACTTAACTATATCAATCAAATGTACATCAACTTGAGTACCTGATAGATCTTTCTGGTGGTGATGTTGTTATAACTTATGAATCTGGAGTCATTGAAACACGATTCTTTAATGGAAAAAGCTTATAATAATAGACTGATCAACGTCTAACAATTTGCCAAGCCATGAACTCAAATAGTGTACATCCTCATCAAAACCACAATTGTCAATACCTGACATTATTCTATGTGATTGTCAACAAAAAAAAGCAAACACAATCTTTAAAAAAACATGATATATGACGTTAAAGTGTCAGAAACATGCCACGAATATGCAAGTGTAATGTACAGTGTTATGAACACAATATAATGATAAAAAATGATATGCACCCTGTCGCGTTGAAATGCCAAAAGGCGAATGTTTAAACAAACTAGAAAATTCAGTACTAGATGTAAGTTCTTAAACACGTCTACACGAAAATTCAGATTTGCAGTCTCTCTACCCTTGTATCGTGAGCTCGTTTCCTTATCTTAGCACGGACGACTTCATTGATTGAATTGAACTTTTCAAATTCTTTAATTACGTAATCCTTCTTGACGTTATAGCTGTTCATCAATATCTTTGCTACGTATTTCACTCTCAGGTTTGCGATTTGATTCTCTTGAGTTTTACTTTCGGGTGTCAATCCAGTCTTCCATTATTTCATATCTCCCATGTATGTTTCCATATGTCTCATTGTGAACACACCACAATCATCAAAGTTATTGTTTGTCTGCCAGTCCAATCTCAATCTTTCTTGACCAGTTTCATCCAATTCTTTACCTGCTGCATGTCCTACTGCATTCAAATGTCTGATCATCAACTTTTGATGCATAAATAGGAAGAAATGCTTATCTCATATTCTTCAAACTTAATAGAGAATGCAGTTATAAGGTAGTTTTTGGTTCATACCAGGATATCCGTTATGAAATCATACATTTGCAGAAGGTGGTCATCATCGGACACTTCTCTATGTCTGTTGTCTATGACCACAATTGATGGATTCTTCAAATTGAACACCACAAGATAGTAATGTCCCTTGTCAAGCAATGGGAAGAATACCTATTATTTGGTCATGTTGTCAAAGTAAAATTCGGGTGAATTCATATTGAATATAATTAATAGAAAACTAGATTAGTCAAAAAGATAAGAGTTGTGAAATTAGATTCATAATACACACGATTATTTGAAATTAGAGTCATTATAAACATAAACTAAATGAACCTTATATTATTTGAATCGTATTAAATTATACGACTGTTTCCATAATCAAGACATCTAGAAAAAAAACAGCAATTAGATTCGCATATTTGCAATAGTGTATCAGATTCATTGATACGTTTGACTAAGTGCATATTAAATATGGTATCCAAATACAACAATTAGAATCTGAAATTGGAAAACATACCAGGTCTACATTACGCATTTGTACTACTTCCCAGTTGTTTTTAGCAGAAGATAACAAACCCTTTTTGAAAAGTGCGTATTGGGTATTATGATTGACGCTCTTAGATCTTAGCTTAGTGTCTCGCTGTCATAAGCAACGATGTATCTATGGTTTATATTGATGAAGTTGTTAGACAATGAAAAAAAATGCTATTTAAAATATTATCCTTCTCACGTACCATAACTTTCGTGTTAAAAAAATAACGACGCAAGGAATCCCTGTTCCGAAACCGTTCCTCGTAGTTAAGCAATGTCGCCCATTCGTCTATCACACTTACGTAAATTGTAGTTGTACGCCCCAAGCTTTCAATTTCATGCCGATGAAGCTTCATATCGTTTGGTGTTGAAAACAACAACTCGCTGCATTTAAAACCGTCGAAATGATAAATAAAATATGAAGACGGATGACCGGGTGGTAATAATTGAACAAATAAATTTTCATTTAATAATAAACTTACTACTTTCCTCCAAGCCCAACAACTGCCCATTCATGTATTTTTCTTTCTTCTTGCGTCACGTTCAGGTCAACTGCTCTGATAACAAAAGGGGACCTGAGATGGTCACCCAACTTTAGTTCACGTCTTGTCGCTCGCTCCACGTGATATTTCTTTGCATCTTCGGATACATTACATATTTCCACCGAAGGACATCTTTCTATACATTCAGCCTCTTCATGCAAAACCATTGACAAAGGCTCCGATTGCTTCATTGGACTAATACCCAAATCAAACTTTGGAGGAGTAATGGCTGCATATGGTCTTTTCGTCTTTGACGTTGATATAGTATTTTCAACTACTTTGTCAACTGCTTCAATGAAACCAGGGCTTAACCAAAC